TGCTGGAAGAACAGAAACCTTTTTGATGCTTGACCGTCTTCACAGCTATGATATATAAAAATTCAGTTACTGCATATTGCAAAAGCTTACTGAATCCACTGTTTTCTTTTACCTCACAAAATTGTCTTTCCATATTGTGAATAAATGAAACCTGAAGCACTTCTTAGCTACAGTTTTGCAACAGATAAATTCTCTAAGAAGTTAAGTGCTCTTTTGCACATAGTGAGTACGGTTCATTTATAGTTTTCTGACAAGAGTAACTCCCAGCACTTGACCAAGCAGCCACCTGCACTGCCTTGATGGTAATACTGCTTAACTCAAATGTTGGTATTAGACATACAAATGCATGCTAAGAGGAATACTTAATCAGGGACAGCAACAGTACTAGTCTAAAGTTAGGCTGTACTTCTAAGGCTTAGGTCTATTACTACTATCTGATAAACTGTGGTTAAACAAATAAAACAATGAAAAAGGTTAAGTGGACGATTTGGGTAAAGGCCAGAAGTTGGCAGCTTCATTGTAGTGTCAACAACTGGTTTTAGGCTCATACCAGAAACTCCTCTGCAGGTTTAAATACATATTGAGATGATGTGTAAGGAGAAAAAAGTAACAAAGTCAAAGGGGATCAAAATCACCTTAAATCTAGTTATGGACTCTCTGGCAAAGGGCAAGAAAAGTCCTAGTCCACACATGTGCTGAGAGAAATAAGGAGGAGTAAGCGTCCATATTCTGCATGGAGAAATTACGTCCAATACAGACTTTCAGCAGAAAGTCCTTCCTTTTGCACAGGAAGCATACTAGTATCACTAAAAAGGAGATGTCCAGATTATGGAAAAGAGGACAAGAAACAAGAGAAACAAGAAACAAGAAACATTCTATTGCTCCAAATTTGTTCTTGGAGCATTAGCAAATACTACACAAATACCTTCCCTGATGTTGTAAATTTTACTCAAAGCCCTTACACCCCAACAGTTTGCAGTTAAGTTAGTTGGACAGTCTGCCTTGCATATCATCCAGCAGATCTGTCTACAGTGGTCATACACTCTCCAAGCTTCAAAGCAACTTCAGATCTGGGCATGCTCTCCACTAAGGCTTTGGAATCTCACCAGTGTATTTCAGGCATTAATATATATATAAAAAAAAAAGTTATTGAAAAATTGGTCTGGATGGGAACACCAGTATTAGATTGTCCCTCAGAAGAGGCCATTCCCTTCCTTTCCTGAGCTGCTAATAATGTTCTGTCCCTCTAGTCTCTCTTTCTTCTTTATTCTAATCAATCTTCTCTCACAAGTCATGATCATTCCAGTTGCTTTGCTCTGGATTATCTCCTGCTGGACAACATTCTTTGCTGCAGTGCCAAAAACTGATGAAAGTATTCCAACTGAGACCTTACCAGTGTTGAACAAGCTGGAATCACTCTTGGTGTTTCCCTTTCTTCTACCAGCATGATGGTTGCTGGTCCTTGTTCCTGTTCTGATCTACTACAGGCGTCACATTCTCTGAAAAACTGCTGCTCCCCATCCTGTGCTCTACAGATGACTGTTAGAAGTGCACTATCTTGCACTCGTTCCTATTGAACTTCACCCTATTTTTTCCAGGACATTTCTCCAATTCATCACAATTATTTTGAGTCCCAATTCAAACATTCACAATCCCAATTCACATATTTGGCAATCCATTTTGTAAAATAAAAAAGATGCAGTACTTCAGAAACGTCATAAGCTCTTAAACTTAAATCTTCATTATGATAGCGTAAATAATGTGAAGATAGATTGCACATCCTCTACATAAGACTTTGAGATTGTATTTGTTCGTTTCAAGACACATTTTTGATTTTGCAATCTGAATTCATTGTATTACAGGCTCTGTATACAAAAAAAGCCACAAGTGGTCTTTAGGAAGTTACTGTTTTTGCACAAAGATATTAATGTATGACAATCTGGCAATATTAACTGAAGTCTTTGTGCTTCATCAATATTAATATTAATTTAAAATTTTCCACTTTCTATTTTTATGTCTATACAACAGGAAAGTAACTTAGCAGGCTTGTTTTATAAAACTCCTAAAGAAAACATGAAATTCAGATTTCAGTTTCAAGAAGTTCAGAATGTCAAACATATTACAGCTTTAAACAATGTTTTAGGAGAATATTTGCAAAATACGCAGTCAACACATCTCACTGATATCTTTGGTGCATTTCCTTCTATCCATCATGATGAGTCTGATCAATCCTGAAAATGTTAATGGTTGTATGTAAAATCTGCAAGTGACCAAGCATATTTAAGTCAGCTACTTGCTAGAGAAGTACAAGTTCAAGGGTGGAATCACTCACCTAACTATGGCTACCTAAAAGCAAGGCATATAGTCTAGACTATTCACCTAGGCCCCTTCTGAGGGGAAAGACATAGGCATGTATTGGTGGAAAGTCATTCCACCACTTTTAGGCTGAAGTGACACATGGATGGGTATGTGTCTCTCTCTTGCTTCAAAACTCCTAAGAGTGAGCCTTTGTGCTTTGCTGAATGACTGGCTCTTCACTTGAGTTTATCAATATTAGGCAAGATTAATCACTGTTAGCATGATGAAGTCTTTCACCTGTAAAGCATCACAAACAACTGGCATGGGATTACTGCAATGCAGTGATGAAAAGAGAAGCCATTGACCCATTTACTTTCATTGCACAGTCCTAAACATCAGTCAACTTAGTCAGAACCACTTTTTTTGTAACTACTTCTTTGACAAGTTAAATATCTAAAGTAAGATTTCTTGAATTTACTTTCATTTACACTTAAACTGCAAAATTTTCTATGGATAATCTAAAACTTACGTAGTATTTCCACCCTGAATGTGCTTGATCCATCTCTATAACTGTGTATATAACAGATGATATACATGTGGTCTCATGTGCTTAAACTTCACAGTTGTCCTTGTAAATGGCATAGATCTAGACCTTAGGACAACATTTAAAAAAGAAACAGCACCGATTTTGGTTGCATAATTTCCAATGATTTAAAAGGGCACCTGATGTTCAGAAAGTGGTGGTATGAGAATTGTTGTTCACAGACCCACAGGGATTCAACAGTACTGAAATACATGTAATTGCCTATTTGAACAAAAATATTTTTTTCTGTAATGTGGGATTGCATCAGGATAATGACCTAGATGATTAGGCTCTCCAGGGAGTGGTGAAACAACTAAATTAAACTCCCTATTTCAGATGAGATCAACTACAGCTGAATGAGATGGTGTTATGTATCACAACTCTGGTGGCTCCTCTAATCAATGAACTCTAAGAACTTAGGCAATTATAATCACAGATGGGCTTGCTCGCTCTTTGTGGAGCTGATGAAAGAACTGCCACGAATTTCGCTGCACAAGGAATCCAAACCCTTGTGTGAACTCTGATGTTAACTGCACACACCAAATACAAAAATAAATTGAACCACCGTTTCTGCTTCAGTCAGCAGATACTCAAAATGGACAACGTAAACAAAGTGGTATCTCTCCTTCTAGTGTTGATACAGTCACTATAGAAGACGACCATAAATAAGGCATTTTACATATGAAAAACACTGATTTTCACATATATTATACGTATAAAAGAAGTTCACAAAATTAAATGATGAATAGTTCATGCAAAACACGGATGAAAGCAATAACCATGCTAGAATATGTTAAGCTTATTCTTTTCAACTTACCACTTATATCCCTAGAAAAACAAATTCACTGTCGCAATAATATCCAAGCATTAGGATTCCTAGAGCAGTATGTGACTGTAAGCCTTGTCAAATGAATGCTACTGCTATATCACCACCTACTCTTACCTTAGAAGGGGTTCCAGGAAGAGGAGGACGAGTGTTAAAAACAATATTATCTGTAAAAGAAGCAAATGTAGAAGGACACTGAGCAAGGTGAGAAATGTTCTGTAAGAACACAAAATTTTGCATAGCGGACCAACTTTCCAGTTTTTAAATCACATTGCAGTGTTTCTCCTGGCCTATCTTCTTTGCTTTTGTCTCTAACGTGCAGCAGACTCTGGTGCTTGCTGCCACAGAAACAAAAGTATGTGCAGTGCCTAAGTGATTCAAAGGAGCCGAAAAAGTATGGGCAGCCTCTCACCATAGCACTGATACCCAGTCAGAATGACAAAAGAAGGCCTTAGAGAGAGAACACCACTCCTGAAATAGCACAAGTTAGACAAGGATCAGGCAGAAGCATCTTTTTTCCCCTGGCAGTCAGGGTAAGAGGGAGGACTAGGTCTCATCAGTATTTAACATGACATTAAAGAGTAAACAGGCCAAAGATCATACTGAACCTCAGGACAGGACACTCCACTCCACTCCACTCCACTCCACTCCACTCCACTCCACTCCACTCCACTCCCACTCCACTCCACTCCCACTCCACTCCACTCCCACTCCCACTGCCATTCCCACTGCCACTCCCCCAAATTATCAAGGAATGACTTTCTGACCCCATATTCAGCATCAGGTGCAGCCAATCCCTTCTTCTTCCCTGCTCTCCCCAACACAGGAGGTAACTCCCCATTTACCACCAACTCACCTGTTGGCAGTACCTCTCACGGCCAATACCAGCGCTGCTGATGTGCTGGCCTCAGATTGCAATAAGGACCATCGGAGGGGTGCTGGGACGACCACCTTGTTGGTGTGTGTAACATACATGGCCACTTTGAGTAGCAAAGTACATTTTGGATCTGACATTAATTTAGAGCCAGCAATAATTGGAGTTGGTAGCCTCCCTTAAGCTACAGGACCTGCCTCCATCTTGCGTGATCTGGCAGATCTTAACTCATTTGAAAAATTGGAAATTTGAGATTTAGATTTTTTTTAATCCAACTTTAATCTACTGTAATCTGCACCTACCTACATGACAATTGGAAAAAATGCACACATCTTTATCATCATTAGCACAGCTATTTATACATATCAAAATAATAGGAATAACTCACCATTTTCTGAGCCAAGTTGTGGACAAGGAATGGTAAGAACCCTTAATAATCCATCTGGTTTGTATGAATAATGCTCAACTAACTACCAGAATGAGAAGTGGAAAAAAAAAAACACACAACAGAGAAGGAGAGAAAAAGATATGAAAAGATAAGGGAGGTAAAATTAAATATATTGCCTCTTTAATATTGTGTGCATATGTACAATAATTGGTATATATTACAGCAAATGAACTGGACATACAGCAGATCTTTACTGCACATGTTCTTAGCTCATCTTTAGCAGGGGTGCATGTTTCTGAATCAACCTTGTGGATGAATCTGGAACCTGATCCAGGAACCAGATTTGTAAGACTCAGCATTCCACGCCCGGCTCTGCTACTAACCAGCTTTCTAACACTGAGCAAATTACTTCTTTTTCTACGTCTGAGTTCCCGTCCTCTTTTTTTTTTATTAACTTTTTTTTTTCCCCCAAGATGGGTATAACTGCAGTGCAGCAATTGTCCTAATATGCAATGCTTTCTTTGGACCTCAAAGTCACAATGGGATGCAAGCAGTTAATAAATGTATAGCACCAATAGTTGTGGGCATTTGTGTTCCTGAACTGCCCACTTGATATCATTTCATTACAGGTTCAGTACTGTTATTTTGGCTTTGGTGCATTTGGGTAAAAAGAAGGGGTCTCTGAGTGAAAGAGTTGCAGACATATTAAGAAAATTTGTAAGATAGCATAGCTGCTTTTAAATTTCCAGTGACTCCAGGAAAATTTCACTGCACTCCAGGACATTTACAGGAAAGGCTGAGAATTAATATATGCAAGTAAAGACTCATAGTTTTGTGACTCACTTCACTTGTTTTAATAGAATTCTAAGCAAGAGGACAGAAGACATTTCTGCAGGGGTTTCAATTCCCTTAGCATTTTCAATTTATGCAGTCATTTCTCCAGTATTCAGTTTTATTATCAACTATGGCATAGTCAACTATGCATTCCTTAATTGCTTAATCTTTACCAGGGTTCAGACATATTTTGGTGGTAACCCTCAGCAAACTATGCTTTTTCAGCCTTGAAGGTAGAGAATTTCAAAGCTAAAGTATGCAGTATGCAGCATCCTAAACCATCCCCTTTGTGCTTCCTAGAATTCTGTTTATTCCTGTCATAAAGGACATTAACAAAAGACTACACCTAGCAAAGCTATTATTGAATATGGTCACTTGCAAATGCAAACAGTCTTCCATTCTAGAGAATGTTCAGCTAACTGAATAATAATTACAGCAATTTTGAACTCAGTCAAGCTGCAACATCTCATTTAAAAATGATTTAAGCTCCCTACACTTAGTTTTCTACATGAACATATATTTTCTTCATTTATAGAAATCACATAAAGTTGGAAACATAGGACAAATAACCTGCCGAAACATGTGACTGTTTAGCTAAAGACTGTTGTAGCAAAGCGAAGTAAAACAAGCTGCCTTAGTCAGTTACATGGGAACATGATGACAGATATCCAAGTGATTCAAATTTAACAGACCTGCCAGAGGGTGTCAAATCTTTTTCCGTCTGGTATGGAGAGCTTTCCTGTCTTATCTCTGTCAATACGGTAATGCAGTACTTTTCCATCATTCAGCAGACACAGGGCATAGGAACCATTGCTGTCCCTTTCTCGGATACTGTAGGAATAAGAGAGATTTTCAGGGTTACACTTTACCAGGAATGACCATCTGGGTTGAAATTTTTTTAAATCACCCTTTCCTTTAAGCCTTTGAATGAAAACCACAGCAAAATCAGCACTGCAACTTCTGAAGACATTTTGCTAAGCCTTTCATTTATTTCTTAGTGCCATTTGTTTTCAGATAGCATTCCCTAAAGTTTTTTGGGTTTTGGTTTTTTTTCCCCCAAAAAGCAACAGACGACAACAGAAAATCCACGATGTGGAGCTCTTTGCTAGGCAGCTACAGAACGCTGTGCAGTGCACAAAGCGGTGTCTGAGCAAGGAAGCATTTGAAGGCTGGTGCACTGCAGGCTGACAAAGCTCATGGAAGTCTGAGGCTAGGACCCAGCATATACGAGCTGCTACACTTCAATCCCCTCTACAACTGACCTAAAATTAAAAACAACAGATAAGTGCCTTCACTAAAGCCAGATTTCTCTCTTACATCTTCTGTTTTGAAATAAAGAGATTGCTGTAGGGGCAGAAGACAAAATACTAAAAGAATATAATGAGAAATACAAATAAAGGGAAAATCTTTGTGCACTGAAACAGCTTGCTGTTTGGCTGGGAATTTAAAGTAAGTCACACATTTCTGTAATCATCAATTCTTATAATTTCTGTAATAACATTAATGCTTTGTTGCAGTTTTCATATAAAATTCACATAAAATTTCACATGGTATTGGGGTATATATCTGGTCTAAACTTCACCAGGGAGAGATCACGGAATGTAATATAAAAACATTGTCTAAAATTCATAAGTAGCCAGGATGACCTCCTTCTTCCAGGATATCCGCAAGCAACATCTGAGATACCTGCAAAGTGTTGCAGAGTTGTTTTATGTGTACTCAAGGCTAGCTCACACTGAGATCAGTGTCTTCTGGTGACTACACCCAGAGCAGGTAGGAATCTGCTACTAGCTCCATCATAGTCGATGTAACATTTCTGACTTTAGAAAGCAGACTTTTTCTTTTAGTTTGAGCTGTTCGTGTTTACTTGCTGCTGACAGTAAGACAGTAATAGCGCTAGATGAAAATTTTCTGGAATAATGGGTTTCTTGTAAGATTCATCAACACCGAATCATTTCTTGTTCCAGTGTGTACAGAAATGTACTCACTCTCCCTTGAATTTTTCAAAAGCCCTGAAAAGAAATACAGTACAAAATGCTCACTAAGGTGCTGGGAAGCTTTGCTGGTGCAATGCTAGTACTTGCTTTCACATCTCAGATTGCAGAGGCAAGCATTAAATTCTGCTCCTCAGCTGACTCACTCAAGGCTGCACTAAAACTGTGTTTTGTCTGAACTACTCATACAACTATTTTTTCAAGCAGAGTGATTCTTGTTACCCAAGATGTGAACAGGACATTGGCTAAAGGAGAAAGGAAGTAAAGTAATTTTTTTTTCTGAAACCAGAGTCACTTGTCTAGTGTCTCTAAAGCAACTTGAAACACATTGTGGTTTCTCATGACATGCAGGTATTTTCTCAGCATACTGATTTCCTGTGCTGACTGACCAGTGGAGAGCAACAGCTCCTGCTAAAATGAAGAATGACTTTTACTTTGCCTTCCTCTGACTTGCTCTTAGCAAAGAAGGCTTGGAAAAATATTTTCAGAATACAGTACATTGTTTCTAAAACACAAAGGAATGGCATTTCACTGCATTCAGACTTCTGTTCAGAATACAGCACAAGTAAGATTATTCCCAGTAACAAATGTCCTTCATATTTCACATGAGAAAATGGCAGCTCCAATACAATTAGCTCTACTGAAACAGATTCTCATTTGCAAGAGTTGTTACTATCACAAGAAGCATCTTAAACATTTTTCAAGAACACAGGCATCAATGGGAGAAGACAGTCCTGATTTCTAAGGACCACAGCACAGATCCAAACAGCCCTTTCAGTATCCAGTACAGGATTTAGGCAGAGTTCAGGTTCATAAGGTTGTAGTTGCATTTCTGAGCTCTTCCTTCCCCAAACCCAACAACTGGTCTCTGAAGGGATCTGCAGTTCACAGTCATGGCAACTTCTGTCAGACAGCTCTATCCCTGCACATGCAAAAAGTCTCCATTCTAACACGTATGATTGGCCAGTGTTCAGAGGGAGTCTCGTTCTTTTGGGGTTATGGTTCAAGTGGTTTTTTTAAACTGTAGCTGGTCGGCTTCAGCACAGCTTGGATCTCTACAAAACACATACAACAGGAGGTACTGCTGTCTTCCAAAACATGTCTGAAGAGCAGAATTATCAACAACCAAAATTCCAAATGCACTGTCTGCTTTAATGTGCTCTGAAATCACACACAATATTTACTGTTCTTCAAAACAAACTGATAACAAAAAAAATCTTCATTGAAAAAAGCTACATTTTTTTTTTAAAAAACATTTTGGCAAGGAAGGAAGACAGCAGTGAAATATCACCTGGTCTTCCATTTCATGTTATTGCAGAGAGTTACAGATCTACAGAAGACAAAAACAAAGACAATAAACATCTGTAAATAAACAATATTGTCCTTTCATTCACTGAGATTAATCAGAAACATGAGCAACTTCACTGAGAGCAAATTTGAATTCATAGATATATTAGAGAAGCACCAAGTTATCTAGATTTTCTATGACATACACTTTACAATAGCAATTTTAGAAGGAACTGAGAAACTCAAATTGTTACATGATGCAATGCAAAGAAAGTTAAGTTATTCATTTTAATTTTCATGCAATCTATGTTTGAGTATTTTTTATGTTTTTTGTGAATGTAACACAAATAGCAACCAATAACTATTTGGAGTATCATTACAGACTGTGTAAATAGCTCTCCATTCTCTCCTTCAGTAAAGTCTCTATTTTTGCTTGGAAGGAAAAAGAACAATGTCCCAATTTTCTCTGCTTCCAAGTGAAAAGCCAAATGATCCTTTCCTTTCTAAAGGAAAAAATCCCTGAGGGTAAAAAAAATAAATTGCTATTACAACATGCCTCATTGACTGAGTAGAAAAAAGAAGTCATAGCATTCTACAGTGAAGAATAATGAAGGAAATAAACTAGCAAAATGCTTGCTTTAGGAAGAGTGTGAAATTATTCTTGCTCCTGAATCCAAGGGCATGTTAAAGTTTGTTCTTGGCCTTGCTTTGCCTTCTTGCTTGGTGCCAGAGATACTGACATTCCCCACTGCTGATCAAGCTCCAGTCATTCCCTCCTTGTCTGCCCTTATGACCATCTCTCTTGTAATGTTATTAACAACATGACTATTCATTATCACTTCAAATATCTGCACATATTCCAAATTTGAGTGCAATAAGGAATGAGCCTTGTTGCGATCTGTAAAAGGATCATGCAAAGGAAAAAATTGGTTGACTGCAGTCTTCGTTTACGTCATTTGTTCTCCCCTGTTTAGTAACACGTTCAAAGCGGTTTCAGAAATGTCAGCACACTACAGAATTTAGGAGCTAGCTCAGCCACACGCTATTGCTATCTACAATGGAACCTAAAATGTCATCTCCCGATAAGGCTATTGTGGTGTGCTGCACAGTGACGAAATACCTTCGCGAGAAGGATTGCATCAGTGTAGTCTATATTGCTGGCACTGCCCTGCCAGCAAAATACACTATGCTCCTGTTGCACTTGCAACGAGGGATCTTCTCACTACAGCTATCTCAGTCAGGGATTGCATGTTCTCTTCATACCTCTGACCCACTCTGCGCCTGAAGCACACAGTGTAGAGCTAGCCTTGAGAAGCCACAGCCCTGCTGCAGTGGTCTGCAAGTGGCACCTAACTAGGTACCTAACTGAAGGTCAGCAAACAGCTCTCCCAAAGAGCTATGGGCACCATCCAGGCTGCAGTGGAGGGGAATATAGCACCTCCAGAAACATAGTTCGCTGTCTGTATTTTATAATTTATTTTGGAAAATGTTTATGGTCATCGAAGCCTAGCCACTGCTTGGCATTTTGAAGAGGAACTTCATTAATTAATATCTCTGAATTAAGGTCATGTTTAGTAGGATTGTTTTCACCTTGTCTGATGTCAACAATCTCCAGTTCCATCTATGGATACAAACATTATACTGATAGATTTTTATAAAGAATACTCTACAAGGTCAGATAAATCACCTAGCTCAGTATGTGCTCCAGTAGTGGTAAATTCCTAGAGGAAGACAGTAAGATTAATGTAAATATAAACTGCCACATGTATTGGAAACATAAATTTTTGGTCAGACAAAAGACAAGAAAATTCTTGCGGACAACTGTACTTCAAAACTTGTTATTTTGAAATGGTGTTACTAGCATTAACTATTGTGACATGTAAGAGACAGTTTAGTCTCTAGATGTCATGAGATGCCATGATGAGTACTGCTATGAGTCATTCAACAGTCTAAACTAGTTTGGTCCTCTTTAGTATATATTACTGCATTCTGAAGACATTCTTGTTATACTAAAATTATTTTTTACTTTCCGTTTACACAACTATTTGCCTTTTATGTGAACCACGTATGGCTATGAACACATATAAAATGTTTATAGAGACTAAACTGCTAATTATGCAATGCCTTCACTCACAATTTCCTTCATGTTGAATTTTTAAGTTTAAAAGTATTTCTGAACATTGTTTATCTCCCTTCAGCTTCAGAATTTCTGGTTCTTAACACATATGCAAAACCACATGTTCATATAACTGAAGTGGTCACTACTGATGGCAAAACAAGATGTGTCAAGAGCTACTAGATGCTTACCAGAGCTGTTTCCTATGTGAAACTGCAGAGAAAACTAACTATTCTTATACTGCTGGTCTATCGCTGTTAGTAAATTTTTAATTTATTTTTCAACTAGTTCACACATGCATGCACTCACAGAGATAATATTAATGATATTATGAATAATATTATTATATACAATATATGTCACTAATATAAATGTTATTATAGTACCAATAAAATTATTCATAATATTATTAGTATTATCTATGATCATCTAAACAATATTGGTCATAATATTCTACAACTATACCAGGCAAAATCTAATGAAAAACCAGAAGGCGGGTAACAACCAGCGTCCTACACAGCACGCAAAGTAGTGTTAATGAAGTTAACAGGGCCTTAAGACTTAAATGAAATTCTCTGTTTTCAGTTGCTCTTCAGGTCATTTTAGAGATATAATATTTTCTTTCTATTCCACTGCTATATTTTTTTCCCAAATTATGTGGCTAGAGTGGCAATCTTTCCTGAGTGTTCCTCCTGGAAGAAGTGGGCACTGGCTCCTATTTCACACCATTTCATGACTTTGTTTCTATATTTGCCTTTGAAAACAAACTCTATAGCACCCACATACATACTTATTTCACTGACTTTTCAGTCATGACAAGAACTTTAAAAAGGCCTTTGAAAATTCCCCAGTAAAACACCCAGAGTTAGCTCAGAACTTTTCCAGCAGCTAGGATGAGTTGTGGTGTTAGATTTAGATTGCTATTTGAAACGTTTTGAACTGCAATCAGGAAGCTTTTCAACTATTTCCATATTTATTATATATATAAAAAAATTCTAGATTTGATAATCTCGTAGTGCTGCAAAGCAGTGCTAAAGAAATCTAGGCATTAGATGTGTTCTCACAGAGACCGCTGTACTGGATTTTGTTTCAAGGCAGGTAGGTCAGACAATTAGCAGGTTTCTGGTGTAATGAAGTTTTAGAGACCCTTGTAAAAGAATATGCAGAAATATTCTAGCCTTCCAAAATTTATTATGTTTTCCATAATAAACAAGATGATTTTTGTCATATTCCAGCACCTGCTTATGGACTCCTTGAATAGCATCAGAGTACCTCATCTCAGAAAATCTAGCTTCCCTCTATGTTCCCAGGTTCCAATTCCGACCTCAACAAGAGAACTTCTCTGAGACATTGAATGCTTCTAAGTTTTTTACCTTTCAGTCAGCTACCAAGCTTGAGTGTCTCAACCAATGTGAGAAAAACAGTCCCTGAGCAGCTACATTCACAAGCACAAATTGAGAGTCTTCAGTCCCCAGACGTACAGAAGATTCTGACATGTGCTGCTGCTGGGTAAGGAAAAAGTATGCCATGCCTGTGCCTGAAATGTAAAACAACGAACCTCTCTAGGATTCAACAATTTTACTATTACTGTTTCAGTTAGCTAACAAATGAGTGGTTTATTTCTCAACACCTGCTCAGCAAGCCCATGTTAGGCAAACCATTGCAGAAAACAGAAAACCTCTATGAATTAGACAGTTCTTTTGTTATTTGCTACAAGCCTCTAGGTCTACCAACCTGAGTGCTTAAGAGCTTTGGAAGGAAAAATAACCAATTTCTGATACAAATGAAAAACACGTTATTTCTCTTGCTGCACTGGCTACTGAATTATGGGGCAGACAAAGATCTCACCCTGTTTCTTCCCTGGGAGTATAAGAGTAAACGGCAGCTAGTCCAGCCCCCCGGCAATGAGCAGGGACATCTTCAACCAGATCAGGTTGCTCAGAGCCCTGTCCAGCCTGGCCTTGCATGTTTCCAGGGACGAGGCATCTTTCTGGGCAACCTGTTCCAGTGTTTCGCTACCCTCATTATGAAAAATTGCTTTCTTATATCTGGTCTGAATCTACCTTCCTTTAGTTTAAAACCATTCCCGCTTGTCCTGTCACAACAGGCCCTGCTAAAACGTCTGTCCCCTTCTTTCTTACAAGCCCCCTTTAAGTACTGAAAGCCTGCTCTAAGGTCACCCTGGAGCCTTCTCTTCTCCAGTCTGAACAACCCCAACTCTCTCAGCCTTCCCTCATATGAGAGGTGCTCTATCCCTCTGAAAGAGAAATGTTGTTAAGAAATGTTAGCTAAGGGATCCATTTCTTTGAAGAAAAATTAGCTTCCTTTATTTCCCAAAAGAGAAGCCTTTTGACTTCTTAGAAACTAATGTATGCAAGAGGTAAACTGGAAAAGCTGCAAGCTTTAATACATGATCAACATCATGACTCAACTGACACAACATTGATTTGGTAAGATGTTAATACAGAAAGCAACGATTTTTTAGAAAAAACAGGTCATTAAAAGAAAAAGTTGCTGCTTTGTTTCAGATTGCATATCCACCTGCCCCTGTGCCTAAAAAGTAGGAAAAGAAACTAGCAAAGTCACAGAGCAATGAAAAGGAGAGGTGGTGTTGTAATGCTGTGCTGGTAATCTGTGACAGTGACCACATTCATCGATCAATGAAACTTCTTCTGTGCTACAGGGAGAAGCATTCCGAAATGATGAACCTGTGGTAACGGGAATCTTTGGCTCCACAAACTTTTGTAACTTTTTGTTACAAATGTTACAAAACTTGTAACAAATTTATAATATTTTTGTTACAAATGGCAACAAAAACAACTGGGTAAATGACCACCTAGATGTGATCCCAAGAAGCAGGGAGTGCGAGACTGAAAATGTGAAGACGCATGGTGACTTGGATGACAGTAAGTGTGAAACAGAAAAAATTCAAGGTCTGAGGGAAGGAAAGAGATTTCAATAAATGAAATGTCAGTACACTCAAAGTATTCATGGATAAGACCTGATAGGAATTAACTCTACTGGAAACAAAGATTTAGAGGAGTTACCGGTTCCTGACAATTAAGATCAAAACATAGAAACATATGAAGGTTGCATCTACATTAGCAATTAGTGTGGCACAATTAAGGCAAATCAGCAAAGTGAAGGAGTTGGTACTGAAGCAGCGTACCCATCCCGCACTCATTCCTGGGCTTTTACTTTGGGCTAGCTTTAAAAAAGTCAAAGACAGTTGAGTGCTGAAGGAGACTGTGTAAGTAGGCAATGAAATTTCTCTCAGGAATTATACAGCTCTAAGTGATCCTTCCTCAGCCATGACCTTTAAGCTTCATTTTCTATCGTTATACAAATATTTCTATTGGGGGGAACACACACACACACACACACACACACACACACAAAATGGCTCAGTAAAAACACTGATTTTTTTTCAAATAAGGATTTTCCAAAAGAAAAACTTTTTTGTTAGAAGATTTTGACTGGCTGTAATACTCAGGAGATGATGGCCATTAGTCACTACCCTAAATGACACATTTGCACTCAGAAAACAAAACATCATGAGGTCAAGTAAACGCAGACAGTGGCAGACACAAAATGGCATTACCAAGGTAAAAGCAATTCCTTCTGTTGCTTAACTACGGAACAAAGCACCACCACTGCCCCCAGGGAAAATGGACAGATACGGATCCCAACTGTTGTTAACATAAGCAGTTTGTTTGTATTTTTACTGCTTTGGTAAGTTAGCATATTGGGTGCAGGTGGCCAGTCTTTGGCAGTGGGGCTGCAGGGGCTCTGTGAGGAGGCTAGGGCCTGCCCTGGGCCAGTCATGACTGGTTCCGGCTAGCCCCGGTGGACACTCCTGCAGGGCACTGCTAAGCCCCTCAGCTGCCTACGTGATGCCTCTACCTCCATGAAAACATCCTTAAGACAGGGCAGAAAAATGCCTGGAAGTTGGGTGGCAGCAGACAGAAAAAAACCCCAAACACAAAACAAGTAGCAGCACAAACACCAAGGGCAGACGAGGAGGCAGGGATAAGGTGCTCCAGCCGCTGGAGCAGCGTCCTCTGCAGCCCATGGGAGAGGCCACGGTGGAACAGGTGCCCACATTGCAGCCCTCCAAGAAGGTGGATATTTCCTGAAGGATATTTCCTGTGGAAAACCCACATTGCAGCAGGGACAGCTTGAGGAGGAAGGAGTGGCAGAGAGAAGCTGTTAGGGACTCGTCACAGCCCCCATCCCCTACCCATCCTCCCCCACGCTGCTTGGTGGGGAGAGGAGTTGGGTGTGAAGGAGTGAGGTTAAGCCTGTGAAAACTGCAGATGTGAGGGTGTGAGGGGAAGGTGGATTTTTATGTTTTTGTCTTTGTTTCTTACTGTCCAACTCAATTTCAACTGACAATAAAATAAACTACTTTTCCCCAAGCTGAGTCTCTTTTACCCATTACAGTTAGTGGTACATGATCTCCCTGTCTTCATTTTGACCCACAAGCTTTTCCATCCTGTTTTCTCCCCCTGTTCTGTTGAGGAGGGGGAGTCTGACAGTGGCTTGGTGGGCCAAAGTTAACCTACCACAGTCACTTAGTACTGCAAATTGGTTATAAAACAAAGTTCAATCAATTTTCCAGGTATTGAGTTTCTCTGATGCTCCTTTCAGAATTAAACCAAGTATTTGATTAAAAAAAGAAAAGACTCATGCTTTTGCTATAGTTTCCCATCTTTATTTAAGTGGAAATTTAATCTTGGAGACATTTGCTTAGTACAGCAATGATTATGACATGTATATCATGCTGGACTGGGCTTTCTCACTGTGAATGAGAGATGCCCTTTTAGGGTATACTCTCATTTTAGATTCATTCAAGGGAACTGTGTAGTAGTACTGGAGGCAAACAGCGGTACCACAGCAAAAAGTACTTACAGAAATTTTCCATTGTTTCTTGACCCAACGAGGATACGGTGTTCTGACTCTTCCCGAGAGATCCTCCCGTGGAACCATGGCATCTTCTCATGGGCTGTAGTGGCAATCAACTTCTCCAGCTGAGGCTTTTGACTAATGATAGCTTGTTCAAGAGCATGCCCCTAGAGAGTAGTAAAAACACAGTGGGACAGTCAAACTGTCTTCTGCAATAAAAACATGACAGGTAGACTCCCAGTATTGGATTGCTTTTGGGACATTCAAAATCTGCACGTACTTGTTGTATGTGAAGAAAAGATCTGGTTGCTATAAAGATATTAAAATAGAAACTGACGTATTGGAATCTAAATATCACAAAGCTGGGATTCTTCCCTTACCTCTGAGAAACAGAAGGAAAAATAACCAGCAAATTAAGCCCTTAATATATCAGTATTTCAGCTCAAAATTACATCATATTTTTATGCTAATGAGACATAGCTGAATATACTCAGTGTCACTCTGAGATGTCGTAACATACCTCCATATTACACATCCTGTGGCAGTTTACTGAAAGAAGCTGAACAGGCTTTGCATTGTTACAGCATGTCTATGTTGGGGATATTAATGCAAATTTCCCCAAAGCAGACAGGACAGTCCCAATTTTAGAGTGAACTATGTTGATATCTTAGGTATAACTAGACAATTCTAAACTCATCCACAACCTACCACTTCTATAATTTGGCCCAGAATCTGAGGGGAAAACCTCTTAGTTTCATCAGTTTTCACACTGAGTTGATGAACTCCCTTCTAGATTGGGCTCAGACTTAGACTCATCACAAAAAACTGTAAGCCTCAGTACTTGTAGTAAATGTAGTTTCAGGCTTTTCTAGTTTTACAGAACAAAACACACAGGGTTACTTGTTAGTACCAAAAGAGATGAAAAAACTTGTTTAACTCCATGCATTCATAAGGGTTAACTCATGGCATCCCAAGGTGAAATATTCCTGTTGCAGCCTCCTACGCTACTGTTTCCATGTTAAGACTGGTTTCTTCACAGTCATTCTAAGGAGAAAATCCAGCCTGTCTTCCTCAGCATGGAACATTCAAACTTGACACATGCAGTAATAAAGACGTATAGGCAGTGCTCTGCAGTTAAGAAACTAAGTCATCTTTTGGACATAATCTAAATAAGCACCATAGAAACAAGGCCAGCTAAGAGCGGGGGATGTAAAACAAGTCACCATGTTGCCATGCCTGCCTGCACATCAATCCAGAAAAATTCAGAATCGAAAGCAATCAAACCGTTTCTGTATCTTGTTCATTACACCTATTAATTTTTGGTGCATGTGGAAATCTGATGACATAGGTTAGTGCAGTGATAGATAAGGCTATGCTAGCCCAAGACATCATAAAATTACTAAATCTTGTAAAATTTCAGGAAAACTACACTTGTGGCCAAGTTACTGCATGTATTGGTGGGGAGTGAAAAACCCCACTGTTCAAAACTCAAACAGTTATGATCCCATTATGAAAAAATACTACGCAGCAGCAGCAACGGCTGGAAACAAACACTGCAATCTCTCTATCTCCTAACTCTAAGACCACTTTATGGAAAAATCAGCCTGGATTTACCTGCAAATTCCAAGTTTGTTTGACATACTCTCTGATGAGGTTCTCTTTTAAATCTTCAAAGGGTCCTGTTTTGGGTTCAACGCCTGGTGGTCGGTTGAAGGGTTTTCTCAGCAGACAGATAAGGCCATCCGCTTCCTCTGAGTGATAGTTAATGAGTTCTGCAGGACTGGCATGCGACTTGCCTCCTGCAATAGCATATGAGCCACTCAGCTCCCTCTCAATTGTATAATGATGAACCTTCCTTCCATGGGCCAAGGATAAGGCAAAGCCCCCCAGGTAATTCCGGCTTTGGCGGAGCAAGTATAGTCCATCACTCACTCCTCCTTGCATCAGATACTCCTCAGCTTCTTCACGTGTTATATTGCCAAAGAAGTATGGCAAATGGTTAGCAGGGTTCGCTGTGTTGGAAGCCATGATCTTCCTTTTCCAAGTAGCAAACTTAGAATTCTGTATCTGAAAAACAGACAGCTGAGTATCAGTTGAAAAAAGGAATAAACCAGTAATATGACAGTTTTCATGTGGTATGTCAGCAATATATTTTGTAAAAGATTTTGGGATGAAGATCACATTTTTGTTTTTATCTTGTTAGAAGTTGTCTTTCTAACTTCCAATAGAAATTTTTTCTCTGTTATCTAGTAATTTAAAAGTTTCCTATAACGGCACAAGTTTCCTATACCTCTGTCCCTCTTTTCTCCTTTGCCTAGCCATATAGAGCTCCTGATGTTTTCACTTGCCTGAATGCCCCATCCATCTTTTTGTATTGGCCTTCAGGTGTTCTCCCAACAAAAGGAAATAACTAGGTAAGAAAGATTCAGTAAGAACAGTTTTTCATTCCAGTTTTGTGCCATTATAATTTTGCTTATAAGAGTAGTTTATGTCAGTATGTGGGCTGAGTATGGACAAAAGTGTCATATTAAAATAATTAACATTCCTCTCCACAGAGATTTACAAATGTTTTTTTAATGGTTAAAAAAAAAGTGATAGTGTCTTTTTGAACAGTTTTCATTTCAAACAGCTTATATTGAATTAATATGAAGACATACTACCAGCAAAAATACAGAAATGAATGAAGTTCAGCAACTCTGAAGAATAATTATGAATATAACATAAATGGCTTCAATTCTTTTATTCTTAATTTAACTATAAAGATGATATCTTATATATGTTTAACACATATCATACATATAAGACATTATATTATATATACATACATATAGGATATATTTTTTAAAAAATATGCACAAGGACTCTATAGAACTCCAGCTACAGGAATACTGCTCTTCTTGTGTCCTGTCTTCCCTGAGTTGTCCCAGCCTCTAACCTACATAGTCAGCCAAAAAATGTATTTTCTTTAAACCCCATGGCAGATTTACATTGCCTGGACACCTAAGTGTTGTGCTGGAATCACTTTTGTCTCTTTCAAGTTATTGAAGAGAAGACATCAGAACACAAAAGTTGAATCTGGTTTATTACTCATATTAGTGACATTTAAATGACTATCTAATGGATACTGGGAAGAATACCCCAGCTACCTGACGATAATATGTAAGTGGATAGAAAGTGAATATATTGACACCAATGAGTCCTGTATTATTGCAAGAGTATTTGCAAGCTCTTTTTTGTCAGATGAAGTGGTCCACCACTGCAATTACTGATGTAACCGCAAGTTCATGAGTCAAGTCATTAATTGTTTCCTACAACATTACAAGTTTTTCATACAGTTTTTCCTCCAAATGCTTCCCCAATCCAATCACTGTTTAACCAGGACTGGCCACAGACTGTTACATCTACAGTTCATCAGTTCATGGGGTGTAAGAAGGAATGAATTCCATTTAGGAAGAGTTCAACATCCTCTTTCAGTCTAGAAAGAAAAGAAAAATCCCACTAAGTATTATTGCCTGCACATCTGTAAAACAACTTCAGCATCTGAAAAATTACTTTCAGAGAACACATGAAATGCTGAATAAAACTAGCAGTACGTGCTATTTGTGTGTGTTAGATTAAACTGTTACTTAGGAAATATCTCACAGCTTCATTGTCAAAATTTTTACTTCCTTGTCTTTTAAGCTCAGTTGTCACAACCTGATATTGAAATATTCTCAAGTATATGAAACAGGTGACAGCCTCAGTTATCTGTAGTGTATTATGCAGATTTTAGGCTAACTAGGTAACACTACAAGTATATCAGAGGAAAAACACTGTTGTTTCTTTGTATTTACAAGATGACTGCACATCTGGTATTCTTTTTTCCCAATGTATATATACTAAGTAAAATGTATATATACACTGAATACGAAACACATGAACACTAACCTACAAAATACTGTTATCTTTGTTTTATTTAGGTTGCTGCAGCTCCATTTTCCTACGTTCCATTACCTTAGCTAGAAGCGAACAAAGCGATCAGAAGTTCAGTTCCTGTTTCTATTGCTGTGCAGGATACAGCAGTAAAAACAACATGCACTTCACCGTTAACTGAAGGGCACTGTTTTAGGGAAGCCACGCAGCAGTGTGTGGAATCAGCACTAAATAATTCAGGATGTATGTGAACAGGGTCAACAGACCTCTCGACTTGCAGCTGGCCAAAGTGTGCAACTGAGTTACATAAGCACTGGTGGAGAGGACTTTATGGAAGACCACGTAAGAAGGGAGGGTCCATAGTGCAAAGCTGCAAATGAGGACTGCGCATCTTAACGCAGGGCCTTTTGGCACATGGTGTTTCAGGCTGATACTTTTGCTGGCAGCTCTGCAGCAGGCAGAGTTGTGGTGTGCCTACTGCTTACTTCAGATACGATCCACCAGTGGACCATAGCTGATCTGCTGTCTCTTGTGCTTGGGTCAAGAAACAGTAGAGAAATACGCGTGCTGCTCTGTGAATATATGAAGAAGGGAGCGGGGCTAAGGCAGGGTGGGGAACACAGAAGTCAAATGAACAAGGCTTACACAGTACAGAAAATTAGATAGGACACAGTCAGGACAAATCACATTGTGCAGATCTTGTGGTCTTCTTCCAGCTTTCCAAAGAAGGGAGATATGAAAGCTGCAGAGCTCCTGTAGCCCAACAAAATAGAGCTGTGTGCAGCATGTTATTTATTATTCTTGTGGTTTGCAACCAAAGGTTACTGGTTTAAGATCACATATTAGTCTACTAATACATATTTTGTTTATTAACTGCAAAAGAAAACTGTAACTGAAGAGACAGAAGAAGGCAGTCCTCAGTAAATCACCACTAAATATGGATTCTGCATAAAATACCAAGCAAAATGACCATTTTGACTGCACCAGATGAAGAAAAAGACAGCTTTCCTTAAGCAGAATGCATTATTTCAGTAACATAATGCAGGGGCAGAGGACTGTAATCAATAGTACAAGGTCCAGCTGGAGGCCAGTTACTTGTGTTGTAACCCAGGGTCAGTAGTGGGGCCAATACTGTTTAAGATCTTCATTAAGGAGGTGGACAACAGGGAGAGTGCACCCTCAGCAAGTTCACAGATAATACAAAATAGGGAGTAGTGGCTGAAACACCATTGGGTCATGATGCCATTCAAAGGGACCTGGAAAGGCTGAAGAATTGGGCTGGGAGGAACTTAATAAAGTTTAACAAGGGGAAACATCCTGTGGAGCAGGCCTTCCCCCTTTGGGTGTCTGCCTTCCCGGCTGGGCGGCTGTGGGGAGCATCCTGACACCCCTGTAATGTCACCACGGAACAGCTGTGACAGCCCCTGACCTCGCTGTTTTTCAGTAGTCATAGCCTCTGTGCCTGTGCATTTTGTCCAGAGGTCCCATGGGTGCATGCACAAGGTATGCTGGCTCCATCAGGACCTTTGTCTTGCTCTACCAGCTGTGGCATGGGGGAGAGCAGCAGTTGTGGGTGCTGATCAAAGGCAGCCTCTTCCAGCCCTCCTCTCCTCTCTACCTGGCTGCGTGGTGCTGTGGGGCCCGTCGGTGCCTGTCCCAGGGCCGTGGGCATGAGGAGGGTGCCAAGGACATCGGCAGTGGTGAAGACTCCCAGCAAGCTCCTCCATCTTCCCTGACTGCCTCCTGCAGATATCCTGTGCTATGCTGGTGGTGTCCCAGAGAGAGTGCAGGGGCTCAGGGGTCTTGGGTGTACCAGCTCTTCCCCAGAGCCTCCTGACAGCTCACCAGAGCCCATCCCAGGCATCTCATCCATCCCAGCTTGAGCAGTGGTGAGGTGTGGAGGAGATCGAGACTTCCTCTCCTGCTGTCCATCCCTCCCTCACTTCAGCCCATCTCCAAGGGGGTGCAGAGATAGGGGCACAGCCCGGCCTGGCTCCACATCTCTCAGCCCTATCCAGGGCTGCGACTCCTGCTTTCCAACCCACAAGGAGAGCCCTCGGGCAGCCCTTGCCTACCCTCTCCCGCAGCCTTCCAGGGCTTCCTTGGCTTTTCTGTTCCTAGCGCCAGACAAGCTCCAGCACTTTGCACCTCTTTCTTGGCAGGACATAGTGTCGGGGGCCCAGGGAGCC